TACAAAGCGGCTTAATTTTTTTCATTTAGTGAGCAGAAAATGTTAGAAGTCACCTACAACATTAGAATTTTGTAGATTTTTTTGCAAGTCCTTTTTAACCTCTGGGAATAGGAGACTCTCAGAGGACAAAAGTATGAAAACCCAAATTACTGGTCCAGAGCTTTCAACACCGGCCCTTTACAGCTCATCATTAGAGTAGCCTTTGCACTGTTTGTTGAATAATATATTTTCATTATGGCCACTGCTAGTTCCTCATGTGCCTGGCACTGATGTCCTGCAAGGGTAACTAAGTACTTGTAACATACCTATGCAGATACAGGACAAGAAAGTTAATAAACCCCAGAAATCTTCCACTGCAAGCAAACCTAGCCGCTGCTCCCCATTAGCTCTCTGAGCCAGGACTCTTGCACATCCCATCCATGAGCAGTAACCAAGTGAAGAGTTTGCAGCTTACCTTATTACTCTCACGAGATCATGGAAGGCCTTGTCAACGTTCAGGGGTGGGTCCTTGGCACTAGTTTCTATATAGGGAATCTGGAGGAGAGGAGAGTGTCATGAAAGAGATTAGTAACAGCCTACATGTTGGTAGCAAACCCGTTTCGAAATGAAAGGCCTAAAGGCTGAAGAAATTGGGTCCCTAAGAGACCAGGGAAATACAGGTAAACAGAATGTTGCCATGACACCACTATCAACACCTTCATGCTTGCAGCAAGGTCAGGGAGCACTTACAAAAGGTCTGGAATAAGCACCAGGCAAACTAGCTGCTATCAGAGCTCTGGGTTTGGGGAACAATAATCAGAGACTTCATGTCGTCAGATGTTCTCTCCCCCTTAGCTGTGCTTGCAGACATGAAAATAGCCGAAGGTTGTTGAAAGACCAGCACTTGCCAAAAATTCTTGCTTGCCACATTTTATTAGGACTACTGCATGAATATTTCATGACTACAATTCCCCTCCAGTGTAAAATGATCTTCCCCTTCAAAGTCTGACAGCCAGATGGGGCCTCCTAGAGTGCTTGTCCAGCACACTGGCAGATTTATAAAACTGCCTCTGATAAGGTATTTTCATGCCTGGTCTTTTCCAAAGTGTGCATGTACAGATGGATGCAACATGCCGTGCTTCACTTTAGGTGTCCTGGCTCCTACAGAAGCCAGCTTCCTTGGGGAGGGGAAGGAGTGAACCTGCCCTGCCAAACTGCCATCGTGGCTTGTTCAGAAACAACACACAGCTTGCCGTTTAGGCACAGCAAGCTGCCAAGAGGTCTCAGGCTTGTTTGCCTTTAACCTTCCCATTCTGTTCCTCCTAAGGGAGTTGTTGTCTCCCTCTGGGTATTCAGGGCTGCTGGCATTTAGAGGTGATTAGTGGAGCAGCATGTGATCTACACCCATCTAAGACCAATTTCTCAGGCTAAACTAACATCATGAATAATGCAGAGCTAAGATAGCAGGCCAGATTTATACAGGCTTAACAACCCTGTAACTTCATTATCTTTAACAAGCTCACTTCCTACGGACACCTGGGTATATCTGGTAATGCCCGACTCTGCCTTTTCACTCCAGGAGAGTGCACTTTCTTGCCTCATTCTGAACATTTCATGTTCTTCACTGCTTGCAGACACCTTGTACATGTGGCTTTGTGATGGCCACAGCTTTGCTACAGCCTAGTGCACAGCAGAGTTTCTTGTTTCAGTGATGAACTGGCCCTACTGAAAGGAAACTGCATAGCTGCTACTTTGTAGTAGTCGAAAATGCAATTGCAAATGTTTAATTTTAAGCTTTAATTCAGCTCCAAATGAGCACAGATTTCAATTCTGAATGTCTGTAATAGGATTTACAATAACCCATTAAATAATCCCACAAACTTACGTTATGTTTTGTTGCCATTTCTCTTCCCTGTTCTCTTGTAATTTTCCGTAAATGCATTAGATCAACTTTGTTTGCCACCAAAATCATTGGAAAGGACTCTCTGGAAAAAAAAAATCAAACCCATCACCCAATTATTAGCAGGCTACAATAAAAAATGCTGAGCATAAGTTTCACTTTCTGATGCTGACATCATCTAATATTTTCAACTGCAGACATACCACACATGTGTAAAGAAACAACGAAAAACCCCCAGACTGTGCTATACATATGTTCATATTGTAAAAATTTACTTAAGTTGCATGCATGAACACATTCATTGTTATTTCTAGGGACTTCGGGAACTTACTGTCACCATTTTTGCAATGCCTGATAATAGCTAAGGTGAAAAAAGATCTACAGAATTAGCCAGGAAATTAACTGAGACATAGAGACAGATCTCAGACAGGAGACCGGGACTCTTTTGTAACATTTAAGGCATCTCAGTAACTGCATATCTTGGCAGCTGCTCATCATTGCAAGATATTGAGAGATGACGGAAGAACTGGAGTCCTGGTCATCCACTGTGGGGGGAAGAAAAGATAGACTCTGGAAAGTGGTGCTTAGAGTAGCATCAAATGGGGGAGAAAATGACTGGGAGCAAAAAGATGCCCATTAGCTGTTACCCCAAGGCAAACTGAAAGACTGGGAGTGGTAGGTCGAAGGAGGCTGGAGGGAACCAAAGAGAATTGCTAAGTTTCCAAAGCTATTACCTACCATCTCCTGTTTCTAATTCCAGAAAAAAATACCAAAACCTCTCTAATAATACTGAGTATTTCTCTAACTTTACCAGACATGTAAGTGACTGTCTGCAGCCACCACCTGAGAAGAGATCCATCTATCCATAGCATGTCCTGTGCAAGGCTCCCCCCCGCAGAAATCTCCACAGCTCCAGTGATAAACAGAACAAAGGCAGCTCATGCCATGGGAGGTGCTGGCAGTGCCTCTCTCTCCTCCAGCTTCATGACACAGAGCAAGGAACCTTTTAGGGCAGGGCCTTTTAGCCACTGCTGGGAGGGAGGAGGTCCCTTCTGATCACCGACAGTTACTGCAGTATTGTTTTATATTTAACTTTAAACCCTCTTAAATGATCCTGGTGTTCTCTGCTGTAACAGAGCTGATTTTATTGGGGTAAGGAGCAGCTGGCCACACTCATTTCTGCATAAAACACTTCCCTGAGTAACTCTGGATTTTCAAACAGCATTTCTGGGTCATTTTTCATCCAGATGATAAGGGCTCCATCTTCCCTCTGGCATGTTGCCCCATTGCTCTGGCTGGAAAAATACAGTACTGCACTCTGCATTTTAACTGAGTCTTAGAGTTATTCATTCTGATAATGTGACTGTGATTTAATGTTAATACCTGAGCACTAACAAATCTTTACTCTGATCATTCTGGAGCAAAACACTTGCTTGTCTGGATTATTTGATTCCTTTTTGGCTTGCAGCACATTGATTAGAAAGGGATTACGTATGGAAAGTATCTCATTTTTCTTGTTTACATCAGGCATAAAACTCTATGGGGACTTTGTTCCCTATTGTAAGCTGTACAATTGCTAGTTGGACAAAGCTGCTATAGTCGGAAATTTTACTATAATGAAAGTTGTGGAAAGAAAGGGGAGGCAGGCTTTGAACAGCTCTGCTAACACAGCAGCCTGCAATTCTTTTGGATTTTAAGTTGCCAAAACTGCCTGCTAGCTTGAAAACCGGGGTGTCTCTCTGCTCCCAGGTACCTGTGGGTTTGGCAGGACAGTTTTTAACTCACGCTGCTCCCATTGCTGCAATTTTCTGACCGAGCTCAGGTTTTGGATGAAGCATTAATAAGCTCCTCACGCTCTGCGCTTCAGCGGCGCTGAGCAGGGAAACTCAAACAACCTCACCAGCCTGTTTCACTTCCTGCCTCTCACACACCGCTGCGGCGTTTGCACGGCCTATGGAGGGTAAAAGTTTCAGTCCAGAGCAGAGCAAAACAATGAATACCACATCTTATTTTCACAAAGTTAATTTAGATAAAACCAGCATCGAATTGGGGCATGTTACAGGAAATTCTGTCCCATCTTCTTCAGCTTTCAGAAACAGATTTACTTTGCCCCAAGCTAAGCTGGTAGTGAAGAAAATACTGCTGTGATGTGAGAGGCTGACTGAGCGACTGACATTTTTCTTCATTTAGATGAAATCAAAGGGTGTTTTTTCCTTTACTTTTCACTCTTGTGGGCTCTGCTTTGGATGCTTTACTGGAAGAGCTGTCAGCTGTGAACCTCACATGATATGAGTCCACCCTTCCTGTGGGGAAGTTATTCAGAGCTGTGAAAGGAAGCCAGCAATGAGGCCCGAACCCTCTGGTGACTTTTCTTGATGACTTCCATAATTAAAAGCCATTATGAACGGAAAAACTAAGTGTTTCAAAGCTGCAGACATATAAGGGCTTAATTCACACCCCACCCAATGAAGATTGATCCATCACCTCTTGGACCGGGGTGGGAAGAGGGCGTTATCTTGGAAATAAACCGGCAGCTTCCCCTCGCTCTGCCAGGACACATTTACTTACCACGATTAAACTCAGTGGTACCCTCTCCCATGCACATGGGAGGGGAGCAGATGACCTCTCTGGCTTTCTCCCCAGTCACACAGAGATGTTTTATTCTGTGAAAACGGTTGCTGCAGAGCACGATGCATTAACTGCACTACAACCCTTGTAAGAAATACAGCTCCTTCCAGCATGAGAAGCACGAGTTTTTTCCCCTTCAAGACACTTGTTCACACCACCAAATTATGCAAGACCTTCTAAGGTTTGTTTGGCAGAAGATGAAGCCAGGGAAAAGGAGGATGCTGTCAGGCCACACAAAACAATTAGGGCTGAATGTTTGCTGACTCCCTGCTGGTGTTTCCAAAGTGTCTGTACTGTGCACAGAGCATCCTTCCTCCCTCTTCAGAGCCAAGCTGGTTACCTTCAAAGTGTCTGTTCTGCCTTTCTCTCTTCCAGACCCATTTTCACACCATCATAACACCACTGAACCTTTCCACGTTGATAGCACTACATGCTTATAGAAGAGGTAAAACACTTCTTATTCCTCACATTTAGGTCCACAAACTCCCACATAAGGATTTCTCTCAGGAGACCTGGAGGGCAAAAGTTGGGGCGAGATGTGCAAGCACCCCCACAGCATGGTCTGCAGGACAGGAGCCTGGCAGGTCAGGCAGTGATTCTATGGCACCCACCTGTCCTTGACTCGGAGGATCAGCTGGTGGAACCGGTCCACGTGCTCGAAGCTCGCCTTGTCTGTCACCGAGTAGACTATGAGGAAACCATCTCCGGTCCTCATATACTGCTCCCGCATTGCACTGAACTCCTCCTGGCCCGCAGTGTCCAGGACTAGGACAGAAGAGACAGGGGTTTTTAGTTACCATGAGGAACCGTAGCTGCTGTCACCACTATGTGTCCTATGGCCTTTCTGCCTCTGCTGGGCTTGCGGTCCTCTCACAGGCTGTAAGATTTGATGAAATCAAGTTGGACAGACAAAGTGGTTTCTAGTTACGAAACAAAAACCAGTCCCAGACCCCACTCATTCCTGTGTGCCTAAGCTGAAAGTGGATGCAGGGGAAGATGACCATGTGGATTTCACTTTCCTTTTCTTGTACCAAATGCTGACCACTGAATTTGGGGATTTGCTCCTCTGGCAAGACATGGCTCAAGGTATTTCACAGCCCTCAAACTTTTCCCTCTCCCAGCATAGAAAAATGCAATACTGGAAGATTATTAAAAGCCTGTTTAAATATCAGGGACAACTTACAAACTGCACAGTGAAGTAGAGCTGGGAGACAACCCACGGTAATAGCTACAAGCACTTTCCTTTTCTCAACACCTGGATGTTATTTCTACACAATTATGAGCTCTCAGAGCAAGACGGTACAGCTCTGGGGAATTCCCCTTAAACAGTCCCAAGTGGTGTGCTGAGGAGCTAAGGAGCTAACTAAAACAGGTGGAAAAGCTCTAAGTGCCTTGCATATCCTATACAGTGATCATGCTTCTGTGAATAAATCTATGCTCAAATCCCCTAAAACACCTCAGTTGTGACAGCAATCCAGATGCTGTTCCCCACTAGATTAACCTCTTCTAATGGAACCATAACTCCCTGGTTCTCCACCGCTGTCTTTCACGGGGTCCCATCAGCTACATCACGTAGAGCAAGCTACACCAGCCTCCTGGGCAAATACTGATACACACCAAATACTGATACACACCTCAGTGTTAATTCCTGTACATGGCCAGGATTTTGCTGGGAGGAGGAGGGTACCAAAGGAATTTAGGCTATGCCAGTCAGACATGGTGGGAGCTCAAAGTGCATCAGCTCCTCAGAACTAATAGTCCTAATGCATCGTTGCATCCCAGAGGCAAATGTGGGATCTTCATAGTGACTGGGAACATTTTCACATTCCAATACACTGGGCTGGGTGGGAAAACTGTTTTGCCTCTGCTGTACAGCCACAGCATAAGCATCTGCTGCACACAGGTGATGGGGAAAGCCCAGGGCACCAGTGGATGGAGACTGTGGCAGGAGCATACTGCTGACAGAGCAGCAGGGCTTGATACAGGTTTTTCTAGTCTGAACAGGCACAGAGTCTCAGCAAGATGTTCCCTGTAGGGGTAAGTACTCAGGTTTACCCCAGATTTCTAGATGGGGCCACAGTAAAGACCACTTTGCTGAATCAGCACAGGGGGCCACAGACGGACACGCTGCATGTCAAACTGCACCCCACGAGCCAGCCCACACCCCCTCACTGCATGTCTGGAGGAAAGGCAGCTATAGTGGAAGACTGGGAGATCTAAGGAAGGTGATGGTAAGCCTTCAGCCTCATTTGTTTGCCTGCCCTAAATGGTCTTGAATGTCTGTTTCCATGAGCCTTTAAGGTAAAAAGAGCTTCTAGGCCCTTGCAGAGACCCCGAGAGTTAGGCTTGTTTGCTAAGCTTGCTGAAAAGTCACCTGTGTCTCTTCATAGCCTTTTATCCTGCTTCTCCCCTCAATCTAGGAAACAAGTGTCTCAGCTCAAAGGTATCCAGGCTATTCTTAACAACTGTACAAAAGAAAGAAGAAAAACAACAGAGAAAAGCAACCCAAAGAGATTGCATGTGCCAGTGAATTTCTATGCCCTGGGCAGAATTGCTACCATGGAGTAAGGCCAGGACTGTGTAGCTAGGACGGAAGCGGAAATTAATCCTACTTGCCCAACCTGTATGGAGAGGCTGGGCTGCCCTCATCTGACTCCTGCACCAGCTAAATGCAATGTCAGGGCAGGGCTGAGAGCTGACAACACCACACACACAAACCCACTCCTTTCCCCTCTCCAATACACATACCCAATTTATGGTGGAGTGGGATAGCTTCTCTCCAGGAGCTGGCCCTTCCTGCCCTTCCTCCCCCTGAGACAGGGCAGGTGTCCGAGCACAAACTGTGGGCAGGAAGGTGGAGATGGATGTGCTGTATCCTGCATGGTAATTTGCTTAGAGGATTCCCCTTGCTCTGGCACATTTGCAAACCTTCCATGAAAACGCACGAGGAGCATTCAGCTCTGCTCTTACACCCATCAACCCATCCCCAGCTGCTGTCCCTCCAAAGCGCTGCATCCCCTTAGAGAGGGGGCAAGCCCTGGTGGGGGCTGTGGGGATACCCAAGGGACTGCACGGGGCTCTGCTCAGTTGCTCCTACAACACCTGGATCTGTGGCAGCAGCTGCTATTCAAAGGGAATTCACTTGCAGCTTTGATAGAAAGGTAAGCAAGTCCAGGCAGCATTTAAAATGGCAATTTGAAAGTGCAAGTAAAAGACACACAGCAGAGAAGGTTAAGGGTAATCTCAGATAGGTTATTCATGCAAAGTTAAGCATCTTGTGGATGGCCAGAGAAGGCCCTTGTTTTAACTTTAAATGTGCTCTTCATAAAGACAACCCTCCAGTAAACAACAGAGGAGAATGCAATCTGAATCCTTTGTAAGCAGGATAGGACCACAACAGCACTGAAAAAGGGCCCGATGTAAGCAGCTTTGCGTGTGGTGTAATCTTGTGGCATAAAAGCTTCAAGAAGACGCCTAGCTACAGAAATTGGAAAATGCAAGGAGAAAACTTGGGAAGGTAGAACTGGGAAGGTGACTGGCTTCCCTAAGGGGTGAGGAGGTTTAGCATGTTAGCCAGCATTCACCTTCATTTAAACCTCCCTCTTCTGCAGACAAGATGCCAGAAGACACAGAAATAACCATGACTAGAGAACTGTGAGTTGGTACACTTTAAACCAGCAGTTGCCTCACTGGCAGTGTAGAAACAAGGCTGAAGCAAAACACAGTATGTTTCTCCTACATCATTCTTCCAAGAACTGAAATCAGATTTGTAGGCTGCACAGCACATGGTCAGGGACTTCCAACAGAAAACTTGGTAAACTTCCCACAAACTTGACCAAAGAAGAAGCAAGGAGGAGAATTAATGAAAGCACTTGGGTAAAGATGAAGGAGAGAGAAACCAAGGACTATGTCTGATGTAGGAACAGACATCCAAAGAGGGCAAAGCCATTTACAGCTATCATGAAGCCAGCTGGAGACTAAACTAAGAGCAATTACGTTGTGAGAGCCCAGTAGGGAGGTCTCCTGTGTTGCAGGAAAGAGGCTGCTTAGCAAAGAGATGGCCTTTTCCACTTTCCAGTGGATGTGACCCCCAACTGCTGTGAACTCCTTGCAAATTGATTCCTGCCCCCTTAGAGCTTTACACACCCTTTTCCTGTGAATCCTGATGGGTTATACAAGAGTGCAGCTGCCTAGAGAGCTCTTCCGAGCAGGCACAGGAGCCCAGGAATATACACAAATTTGTCCAAAATAGAAGCTCTTGGTGCTTCAAGGTATATTATGTGCCAATGTCTCTGCAACCAACAGTGCTCTGACTGCCTGTCCAGAGACAAAGGAATGTAAATCTAAACCAAGGGCAGAGACATACTATGAACTCATGGCATTGCTTTTTCTGGAGCCTAGGTTGGATTCAGTTCAGATTCAATTACAGCCTTCCCAGCCTTCAGGGAGCTCAGATCTAGTTGTGCAGGTGAGTTCCTCACTCTTTTCATACCTAGGCAAAATTTCCTCCTACGTCTTTATCTTTACATTGCCAGGCAGCTGGGTGTGTAGGTCACCTCAAGAGAGTTTCTTCACTGTCCATGGCATCTAAGGGGACAAAGATGAAGAGACAGGCAGATTAACCCATTTTCTGTCCTTCAGCCTTTGGGTTTCACTGCCCTGCAGCTTTGAACCTAAGCTCAAGGGAAAACTTGACTTGAATTGACAAGTCAAACTAAAGAGTCTCAGGCTGAAGAAAGTCACCTCCACAGTCTCTGTCTTCCTTCCATCAGCAGCAAGAGGGCATCCCCATCAGCCAAAGGCTTCAGCTGAGGAGTTGGTATTCTGGGCACTGTGCAGAGTACTGGGGTCACTCAGCTCATATTCTGTATTCCGACACCCCCAGGCACCCTGAAGAGGTATGAGGGGCCCTTGTTGTGCACAAGGCAAGGCAGATTCTTCACTTTGTCACTCTGATGCTTCTGCTCCTTCTCAGATACAGCCACACTGCCTCTGGCATGACAGCTTTCCTCAGCAGAAAACCCACGATGGGGAAACACTCAGGCTTTTATGAGCTCTTCTGTGCCTTAACTAAATACACAGATGTTATAACATGGAAAACCCAAGTACTTGAGTCCTTGTCCTTTTTTTAAGGAAAAAGAAGAGAGGGCCTTTAGAAGAAAGACTTCCACATCAATAAACAGAATAAAGATGCAAGCCCTTAAAGGAGTTCTTTCTCTAACAAAGGGCAAATATTCAAAGCCTTGTGTTTTCCATGTTGCAACATCACAATTTTCCTGGCAGGAAAAGCTCCCCACAACCCAAGACAAAAACCCCTCTTTCAAGGTTGCAAAATCCTAGCAATTAAGGGAGGGGAAATACTGTACACACAAATAAAAGAATGAAAGTACAAATTTAATTTGAATTTTAAGGCTCTCAATGATGCTACTGAAAGTTTAAATAAAAACAAAAGAGAGTGAGCCACAAACCAACCCTTCTGCCTGAAAGCCTGAAGTGACCTTTGATCTCCCTCTGGCCTCCTGGCTGACTTATTCCCAAGTTTCCTGAGGAGAAAAGCAGACAAGCAGCAGCCTGCCCAGGGATGATTAGCAGCAAAACTCCTCGACAAAAAGGGATGCATAGGATACACAGGTGGGAAGGGCAGAGAGAGAGCTTGGGGGAAGGAACAGAGTTTGGTGTGACTGCACAGGGGTGCAGACCAGGGCTGTGAAGGTCTAGCCCAACACAAGGGTACCCAGGGATTTAGAGGGGGTCTTGGGAAGAGGAGATATAAAAGGGAAAACTGAAGCTCAGGAGTAGGAAGACAACTTCTAGGCAGTGAAAGTTTCATCTAAATCATACCAGAGGAAGGAAAGGGAAGAGGAGGGAGACCACAGCCTCCTTTCACCCAAGACACAGGCACAACTCCTTGCTTTGCTGGTATCAATTGGCACAGCCCTACTGACAGCCAAGAGTTCAGCTCAATTCACCAACATGCCCAAGCCATGTACTTGTGGTCTTCTCTTCATCTCCCTCTGTGTGGTTTATGAGCCAAAAGGAATTTTGAACCATTGGGTATTTTTTGCCATATTAAGGTATTCCACTTTTGGCTTCACTCCCAGATTAATAATTCCAGACTGGCAGTTTGCAGCCACACCACAAGGAATCCTCTGCTACTTGCTAAGTTAGCCTGTGCACAGAAAGGACCGTACAAAATTAATCATCGCAACTCAGCTGGAGCAAAAGCTGAGCAAAGCAGATTAGCCCTGGCCCCCACTTAATTCTGACCTGATGTGTCTGTACACACCTGCGTGTGGGTGCATTTCACTGAGCACATCACTGTGCTGATATCAGTGTGACCAGCAGGGAATAAATAGAGATAACATATGCTGAGAAAAATGGAGACTGCTCTTAATGTTTGTTAGAGTGGCAGCAAGCAAAAAAATGGGCGAGTCACCAATTGCCTGTGCATCTCTGATTTGGGTTAAGTGCCCTCTTCCACTCTACAGCACTTGTCCTGCATTGACCATCTTCTAAAGCTGGCATAAGGTCAACAATGAAGTGTTTTCACATAGTGCTGGACCTGACCACAACAAGCACAGGTCCCACAATCATCTGGGAGGCAGAGAACTATCACAGACTCTTCTTTGGTGAGAAAAATAGGTACAGAGACAATCCCAAAACAGAAAGCAAACATGTAAAGTAGGAGTTTGAATGTAAGTTTGGCTCCAAGATCTAAAATCTGAAATAAAAGCCTATTTCATTTCAGCCTACTTTCAGTGAGAGATTTTAGCAAAGGAAAGAAATGCTAGTCAAACATTTCATCACACTGCCAGTTACTGCTATTGAATAAATGTGGGTGGAGGTCTTCATGGAGGGAAGCCAAATGCTTTATGCAAGCTGGCTAGCAGAAGGGTTTTTTACAACATAATGCTGGTACAGTTACAAAATGCTCAAGATGCTTTGTACAAACTGCTCAGGCAACAGCCTGGAAAAGGGTGGGCTGTTTTCCTTTTTTTTTTTTTTTAATTTTATTTTTTTTAAAGTTGTTGGATGTCAATGTATTTGGCTTTTTTTAATAATAACTGTTTTCATTTGAAAACTTAGAAACTTATGCATCCCCTCATGTTATATCCTCATTTGGTAGTCTCATGTTCTAAAACCTATTTTGGGGGTGGGCAGCTGCTTCTCCCTACCAAGCACTGCATGAAACATCAGCTTGTAAAGGATTTGGTCATAAAGGACAACTGGAAAGTCTAGAATTCACCATGATGCATCTTTACCCTTCCTATCATGTTTGTCCCTAATTTTATACCATGAGTGATTCATGTAACCACAACAAGAGCAGCTGTCCCAGTAGATGGTGACCTCTGAGAATAGCCTAGATCCAAATCTTATGACAGAGAGCTGTGGCAGAAGACATGTGTGATACTCAGTCTTTATGCCCTGTGTCTACTGAGCTGAGAGTAAAGGCTCATATGCTTTTCCAAGTGAGAATATTGCCTTCTTCCCACATTTTGATTGTTCAGAATCTCAAGTGGTAGGAAAGAGAAGGAGAAGCTGCAGTTTCTCTTCTCTGGCTATGAGGCATCTGTGGGCACGCTAACTCTGAAAGCCAGGGATTCCCAGCATGCCACTCAAGGCCATGGCTGAATTCAGTTCAGGCCGAGTACAGCCACTGAACTCCATCTGAGCAAAAGAAAGGCTTTTTCATTAAAAGAAAGGGTAAGTTTCTGCTTGTTGAAAAACAATTTCTTTCTCCACTCCCACTCAGGTCAGATTTGTGTTTTGGGGGTTTTTTTTGTTTAAACAAAAATTCCAACTATTCAGTGAAAGATGCCTTTTCTACTTTTAAATAATCTACAATGCCAAGACTGTTTCAGCCAATGCAAATGTGTACAGCAGCTAGTACTGTTATACCAGAACATGGGGCATACCAGCAGAGGTAAAGGTTGCTCATTTCAGAGGGCTGGATTCTTGACTAAAAACAATGGATTTAATTTACAGAAGGATTGGATTTTTCTTTTATACAGCACTAACATTTTAAAAATAAAGGTGCACCAGTACATTATGTGATGGTTAATTGGGAGCAGGTATCGCTGATGCAGATGACAATGACAGACACGTTTCAACACCAATTTCACAAATACTCCCTCACATCAACTATTAACATATTCAGATGAACAAGTGTTGGCAAGATTACATTGTTTGGTTGTTTGTTGATTTTGGTTTTTAATACTGAGTAAAGGCTGTTCTTGTAAGGACTTTGCAGCCATTTGTACTCACTAGTATCTGATAAATCCTTAAAAGTGTGACTAAGATCTCAAGTTTCCAGACCAAGCCAACAGTCTTCACAGCAAATCCCGCCGGCATCCACATTCCACCACTCATGACAATCTCCCAGCTTTCTGTTCCCACACAGCAATGACACTATGCAGAGACACCTAAGATCTTGAGCACCTTCTTGACAAGAAGGTGGAGGTAGGAACTTGGCACAAGTGAGGCTAGATTTAGTTCAGTTGTGTTAATGGCCAAATCCATGCACTTTGGTAATTAAGGCACAAAATATTTGCTTGCTTTTATGTACTACCTAATTCTTGTATAAAGCAAAACAAAAAACTTACAACATTTAACAGAGAAATTCCCCTTATAGCTGTGTTTAGTCTGACTCATGCAGCACAAACAAACAAGTTGCAGCTTTAGGTAATATAGGGCTTTCTCCTCACCTGCTCATCAAGAAACTTTGGTTTTGGTTTTTTTAAGAGTGTGACAGTCTTTTTTGTTCCACTTTGTTTGTTTGTGTTTTGTGTTTCATTTTCGTTTGTTTTGTTAGAAAAAACAAACGAAAAGGCAGTTTTTCTTCAAAGAACTGAAAACTCTTGCTTACAACAGATCTCTAGGCTGGTTCCCTACCAGTATTTAAATGAAACAGGTAATTAGAGATGAAAACATCACACCTGAATGAAGGGAGTTAGGAGGTGTAACAATTCTTCACTGTCAGTGGACAATAGTTTTGATTAAATGTTCTTTCTGGTTATAACCCTCACTCAGTTACCCACTCACTGTTATTTCCCAGGGGATGAGCTCAACCACAATGAAGTATCATTAGCAATAGCCACCTGGCAGTGTTATAATTCACTCTTTGTAGAAGCCTGCTCTAAATGTCAATGATTATCTGTAGGTTTTTACAGTCCTGCAAGAAACATTTCTCTGCAGAACTGGAAACAATGCAACTGGAAGCAGAAACTTTGCTGGAGACCAGCTGCAGACCATGCACCACAGCTCACAGGCCAGCCTGTGCTCAAATTTGCCAGCCCACAGCAGAGCAGGAGGGACACAAGGACACAACATGCTGTGGGAGGTCTATTTGCACTTATGCTCAGCTAGAATGAAAAGTACAAGAGTAGCTTGCTTACCATCAAGAATTGCCCACTGCCCATCTATTTCTGTGTGCTTCAGGTAGGAGTCTTCAATAGTTGGGTCATAGTCCGGCACAAAAATCTTCTGGAAAAACTGAATGGTGAGAGCACTCTTCCCCACACCACCATCTCCAACAACCACCAGCTTGTATGTGGGGAGGTTTTCGCTGGGAACAGCACTTGTAGCCATGCTTCCAGTGTGCTAAACCTGCTGGAGAAAGAGATCATCTCCAATCACTCGTCAGCAATGAAAACAGGGCAATATGCATAAGGCAGCTTTTACCTGCTGCCTAAGAAGTGAGAATGAAGGCAGCCCTACATCCAAAATTGTTTTAGACAGGAGCTGCTGCACAGACCCTTCCCAAGAGCTCTACCCCAACTCAAACCCAGCACTTAGAAGTGCAGACAACTCCACTGCTGTGGCTTGTTTACTCCTGACTTGTCTACAAGGATTGCTAATTGCCACCAAATGCATGTGCAAAACTTATGACTGAAAACTTACTGAATACCTTTCCTATAGGGGCTGGATCCACACGACCATGACAAAAATCACCCTGGCTGAGTGCAGCTGTCAATCTCCAGACAGTTTCCCATTGCCAGTGACCAAATCTCGTTGGTAAGACAGAGCTGTGCTATTCTTCATTGCTTAACCCAAGGTACAGGAAACATTAGATGGTGTGTTACATCCTGGGGCCAGATCTGCAGGCAGAACTGGCAGTGATGGATGAAACCAGAGTTAAAGGTCCCATCCTGGCTCCACTAGCAGACAAAAATGCACTTAGCTATTTTCTTCCCCCTCATTTTCAAGTTTGAGAAATAAAAATGAGAAGGCAGCAGGCCAGGGATGATAGGTGGTTTTTGGTTTGCCCTTTTTTTTTTTAAAAAAAAGAACCTCCACCCTGCCATGGCAGGAAAGCTGGTGTCTGTGGCTGTGAAACAGGCAGGAAAGCAGCCTCCCTGCAGCATGGTCACACCACTCCTCTCACCTCAGAACTGACTCAAAAGAAAGAAGAAAAAAATTCACTGGCTGTAACTGGGCAATGGCAGACGTGTGTGGAGAAAAGAGAAGAGGCAGCCATTGCTGAACAGCCCTTTCCAACACTCAGCAGCAGTGACTGCTCATTTAAGTAGAAGCCAGGCAGGAGGTTCTGTACACATGCTGTGGAGGGCAGTTCCCTCCACCCACCCGTAGGAAGCAGTGATCACTCAAATCACAAAGGAAATGGGTGGCCATCTCCCAGATCTGAATGACCACTGCATTTTCTGGGAGGTCTTTCACACAGTTAAAAAGAAAATAATAATAATAATAAAAAAATCCATTGTAATGGTAAGGCTCAAGAGAAGGCAGCTGATTTCCTTGGTACTGGTTTTCCTGAAAAAAGCTATTCAGAGCAGGAGCAGCTGTGGTGACAATTTCTGCAGCCACCTGCTCCCATCCATTCTGGTTTTGCTGGTGCCCTTTGGGCTGCAGGTGCTGGTTGGGGTCAGCACTGAGGGGGGATGAGGACTGCTCAGAGGGAACCTCCATACTGTTGGCTCCCAATCTATATCCCCACCACCCCACACAAGCTTTTGGAGGCCTTCCCAGTAACTCTAGGGTTTTCTTGTTCACTAGGAAGACAACTTCAACATTTCCATTCTCAGAAACCACCAAGCTAGGCTGGTGTGCTCGGTGCCACAGCTGTGCCAGGTGTTGTACAGAAGCTGAGACTGCCACACACACAGTGCAAGTTGAATGCTGACTAATGTGATTTTTTTTCAGCCTATAGTATAAACTGGCCCCCCATTCTTCCCAAAATTCTTTCATTTTCTCTATTTTCCAAACAAAACACTTTGACTCTTCACTTCTGAAGAGGCCCCAAAGACAACTTGGACTACTTTTCAAACAGACAAGAACATAATCCCATAATCCAAGTTTAGTTTCTGGTTTCTCTAGTCCTTTCTCCAAAATCATTATTTGAGTTTAATCCAAAATATTGAACCATAAAAGGCACTTTTGAGCTGGCAAGCTTGGGAGTCCCATGTTCTTTCTGTACACTGGAAACCCCATACCTTGAGAGAGGGCTTAGTTTCTCCTCTAAAAAGAAAAGCCCATAAGGAGGAAACAGAGGATGAGATTGCTGAGCCTGAGAACTGCAAAGGTCTCTTGTCCAAGTTGAGACAAGCCAACATTTTCAGAGCAAGAAGAAGCATGATCAAGTCTGCTTGTTTCTAAACTACCTTGGGAGCAACAGCTGCTGGATGGGGAGAAGGAGGCCAAGCACCACCTGAGGTTTCAAACAGTCTTACTGCAGTTCTTCACTACAATTCCAAAGAAAAGTTTCTTACTCCTATTTTTGAGTAAGAAACTTTCTTATATTTACAAGACCACACATCAATATGCAGCAGGCTTGGCTGCAGAAAAACCTATGAATTTCAACTGTCTCATTTTTGTTGGAGGACCAACTTTTATTTCTGCATAATCCTGCTTGGGTCAGATGATTCTCACAGGCTTTTTGGGACACAGGCCCTGGCTAAAACTCTGTCCCCCCTTCCAACACATTTGACAACAATTTTTTGCTTTGCCCATGGCCAAGGTTTCACCCCATCCTCCTCTGCCCAGGCAGTATGAAAGACTGATTGTTACTGACATGGTGGGGACAGTCTGGGGATGTGAAAAACATACTCCGTTTGTACAAGATTTTTGACCTCATGACAAAACCACAAGCTGTTGCTCGGCAGACAAGCATTACATTTTCATTGACATTTTGTACCAGCCCCTTTAAATCGCTCCTAAGAAGCCTTAAGCTTATCTTTCATGAAATGCTCCACAAAGTCCTAGAATAATGTTTAGCCCATTGTACAAACTGTGTCTCTGCCCCACACACTTATCGGTTGAATCAGGGCATTTGCTTCCCATCATTTCCAGAAGTTTGGTCATACTGTGTGTCTCAGCTACCAGACTGAGTATTATGTAGCCTGGGGAGAACAGCAGGAACTGAACTAAAAAAAAAACAAAACCCCAAAAAAGTCAAGAAGTGCAGTCTGATTTGTTGAGCACAACCCCCTGTATTTTAGGTGATGCTAGCATGAATAGATGAAAACTTCCATTGAGTGTCAAAAGGTAGCAAGTCTAGATGTTTCTGCAGAATTGTTTCTACTGGTCATGGAAACCCTCCTCTTTCTACGGAGACAGCAAGTCCCATGCTCCCATCATGCATGTACATAATGAAAACCCTCTGAAAGCCAAGTACTTCAGTCCCTCTACCCCTCCAACTGCCCTGATAAGCAAGGCAAGAAGACAACTCATGCCTTGACAAGATTATCATCTTAACCAACCAGTGAATCAAACCTTTAAAACAACATGTATCACCTCCTGGAAAACACTGAGCACTCCCAAAGGTGTGCGGAGCTTCTGCACCAGCTGGTTATGTCACTACAGGCAACTGCACAAGACTTGGGCTGATTTTCATCTGTTTTTGGCAAGAGTACTGACACAGTCCTCCTCAGATGGGAGCAAGAATAAGCGTGTTTGCTGTAGATCTGATTGGGAAAAATGAAACACAAATGTTTTTATCTATTGTCTGAATACAAAGCAGCATGTGGTAATACGCTAATAAGTTCTGATGATAATCATACAATTTATATAGTTGTTTATTTTGAAGGAGCAAAGAGAAGGATCCATACCCTACGCTGACAAATGCCATCAGGGCTCCAGGTAAGTCACTGGAAGGAGGCTGATTTATACAACCATCTTCACACCCACTGGCAAGATCAGTGTCCTGACAGCACAAGCCAGTAATGCTGAGACAGTCAGAAATGTGGCTACTTCTGGGGTAGATGGCAAGGAAAAAAGAGAAACACTGATCCAAGAGTATCACTGAGGCTGAGTCTCCTAAGCAAAAATGATATTTTTATGGATTCAGAATAAACTGCATAAAACCCCATTTACCTGTCTGGGCATGGGGATGGATGGAAGGGCTGAGCTATCCCCTTGGAGCAGCCAAGTAACATAAAAACCCCAAATTCAGCTTAGCTTGTCACTGGACCACCAAGCCCAAATAGGTACCCACAAAATATACACAGTATATTCTAATCCCTATTCTCCTTGCAAAGCTTGCCCTGAATGCAAGTGGGTCAGATCTCAGCTTCTGTAAATCACTGCAATTTCTGTTCATCGGAGCAGAGTTGTGGCCACACATGACAATAATAAAATGGACCTCAGATAGCTGATATTCTGTGTGTTGGCACCCCTCTCCCTGGTTCCAGCTGTGCTGTCCTGGAGGAAGAGCTCTCAGGGCAAAGCCATTACAGAAGGTCAACAAGCTCAGAACCAAGCCCTGGATTTGCAGGGGAGGTTAGTGCAATTAAAGACGCTGGCTCCCTGACTGAGAAGCCCAGCACGACAGTGATTTATGGTCTCCATGGCAACATGCAACACAAATTGCTTAATTCTGTTATGAAACCTCCAGAAAAAGCTACAGCAGGGTCTGTGTGGGAACTACCAGCTCCCTCCTCCTCTGCTGCAGCTCTCCAAAGCAGATAACTTCAGGGAGCCCACGAACACTTCAGCAATAGGCTGAGATTTAGCACATACTAATATCTATGTATGCTGACCAGTTCCATCAGCCCATGGTCAAGGGAATTTTCCTATCATCAGCTTGCTTTGGTTCATGGCTCTTCACACATGCCCTGCCAGAGCTCTGCATACCTGAGGACACCAACCTCACCTGAGGCTGAGGAAGACTATCAGCCACCTACGGTTGCAATTAATAACTCTTCCTCTAGCCACAGCTCACTCGATTACACCCTTTTACCCAGGCACTTTGTAAGCATTAGCAGCTTCATGCAATGCCTTAAGGGCTGAAACTCTGCAGGATCTGAACACTTCCCTCTCTGTTCCTCTTGCAGACTGCTGGCTAGAGCCACACAACCACCATGACACACCCACAGACGCTCGCCAGGTACCAAAATAGTTCAGCCCAATGTGTTGTAGGCAATCCCTTGGGCTGGGAGCTACTGAGAATCCTTGAAACACAGGACATGCCCTTTTAGAAGGCAGCTGCCTCCCTTGAGTCATGCTGATCAGGACTGAATGAACTTCAGGAATTTCTCCCTCAAGTAGGCATTGACCGTGTCCCAAGCCTTCAAGATCCAAAGGACTTGTAGGTATATGAACAACCACTGACAATTATTATTAAATAAGGATTATTAACTCTTAGCTAGGTT